CTGCTTGTTACTATTATTATAATACTACAATAACAATGGCAAAAGTTTCCAATAAACAATTTATTTCCTAGCAAAAAGTCGATCGAAATCTCAAAAATGAATTAATAAATTCGATCTTCGTTACTGCTATATGTTATTTTATACGTAAATGTCACAAAAGATTGAGACAAAATGGAGTGAAAAAAAGACGGATGTCATTTTTCGACTTGTTACAACAAGCATTTTTTTTTTTGCAAATTCTTTTTTACCAAAAAAGGTGATTTTGAAACACACACTTTCTCCTAATAAGGTAATGCGTTTCACATAGTAACGATAGATGATTCATAGCCACATGTTTTTCATTCGGTTCTCTCTCTCACCATATTAATACTGCTGCGTGGAGAAAAAGAACATCATATTCCATACGCTGGTTTTTTTTCTTATGCCTATATATTCATACATATATACACATATATTCCTCTTTCTAGAAGCAGAAACTACAAGCATCATCACAGAATATGGCGTCATCAGATGAGATAGAACGTTGTCCTATAAATGACCTTCCTGAACTCGTCTTGGTTCAGATATTTTCTTATTTATCAATCGATGAACGACCTGCTTTAGAAGAAACATGTAAATTATGGTATAATATTTTACGTAATTCTCCTGGACTTGCATTTACTTGTGTTGTACAATTACATGCATTTGTTGAAGAACCAATTAATCCAACTCCAAAACGACTTGGCCGTGTTTTACCACGATGGATACGACAACCTAGAGATCAACCAACACATATGACAAATATTGATCCAAGACCATATGGTTATATTCAACAATATTTAAAAAGATTTCGTAAAGATGTTAAAATTTTATATATTGATGTTGAACAACATGATGTGTCGTGTCGTTATGTTCTTTGTCAACTTTTAACCCTTTTTGGACCAGAACAATGTTCACAAGGTCGACAGATTCGTTCATTTCGTTTACGTTTTATTAGTCATAACCCATTATTAATGAAATCTCAAAATATAATTCAAGCATTACGAGTATTTTTTCAATATGATGCTTCCAGAAATCGTCGCGAATCTCTTATTTCGTGTGATTTATCCGGTCTTACGATATCATTAGATGATGATACAGTTTTAACATTAATTAAAAATAATCCATATTTACGTAAATTAAATTTACAAGATCAATCATTAGTTTGTATTTTAACACCATTTTGTATTTTACAAATAATTGATATGCTTAAAGAACTTGAAGATATTTGGGTTGATATGGTCTCATTATCAGATGAATTTATTTTGATGCTTGTTGAAAATTCTGATGAACAACAAATAATTAGAAAATCACGACTTAATCATTTAGGTATAAGAATAAGAAGAGAAGAAAAATTTTCGGATGAAATTGATACAAAGTTATGGCAACAGTTACATGAAAAATATCCTCATTTAAAAATAACATTGAATTTTGGTTTAACAACACCACTTAATCGTATTCGAGCTTATATGAACGCTGATTTACAATTACCAGTATGTTTATTCTATCGAAAATAAAAAAAGAATTATTTTTTTTTTCTTCATAGGTGCAAACATTGATTATTAATACACCTATTCCAGTTGTCGATGAACTTTGTTTAGCAGCAAATAGTTTTAGTAATACTTTAGAACATGTTCATGTTTATACGTCTGGCCAATGGGCTGCAATGACACGAACAACAGCATTTAATCAAGCCGTTATTTATTTAGCATATAAATGTGTTCATTTACGTACACTTTATATTGATGTTGCATTACATGAAGATACAATAGAAGAAATTTATCAATTACATCCTCATTTGAGAGAACCTGGCGCAAGTAAACTTCTACTTACTGATAGTCCTACACATACTATTCTCCCACAAGATATGGGCGATTTATTTGGATGATTTTTAAATGAAAATTTTTCTTATTTTCGCAACAGAATGTAAAACAATTCTTCAAAAACTTTTGTTTATAAAATATTTATATAGATATTATAACAAAGACTAATTTATATTTGTAAAATATATTTTCATTTTATGTTTTAATTTTTCTGAAATTTATTGACATTATTTATAAAACAAAACAAGCAACAAAATTTTATACATTTTTAAATATAAAACTGATAAAATCAACTTGTCTATGAACAATTTTTTTTGTATAAACGATTAGAATTAAACGATCATTCATGTTATGATTTATATCATCAATTTTGTTTAAGAATTCTGTCAATGTCTTATCGACTTTAAATAATCATTTTTTAGATAAGAGTTACCATGATCAAAATAGAAGATGGAATAAAAAGAAAATACATATGTCAAACTACCGATATCAATATTCAAATGTACATAAGCGACAGCGTTAACACGACGAGCATGAACTGAAAAAGTCAAAGTTTTACTATAATTCATAATAGTGAAACACATGAAACAATCTAAACTTTCAACATCACCATTTTTTTTTCTGACAACAATATATGAAATGGACTAGGATGGTCATATAGTATCATGCTTGTTTCTTTACTAACATTTTCTTACATTACCATTTTCATATTAATATGCTGAACTATGAGAAATTTAGATTTCTCTGCTTATAGACATTTATCAATGTTCATAGACGCTGAATGGTATTGAATAACAATTGAAAACTAAATTTTGATTTTGTTCGATTGATTGTTTTAATGTACTTTATCACAAGTGCATCTATGAGTGGTTTTTACAATCATTATTGAAATCAATTTGACAAAATTGAAATTCGAATGATAACTCTCATTCATATTATTCGAGTATTCTATAGATCTTTATCACGTATATGTCGAGTATTTTCAAATCACGTGAAACTTTCAGAGTTTGTAGATCTGGTTTATCGAAATTTATATCTATAAGACCAGTTTCTTAAATTTCACACCCATATTCTGTTAGATGAGTTGAAAGAGATGGACTAATATCATTGACTTCTCGATCACAAGATTTGACACCATTGGATTTCTTTCTATTCGGACATCTCAAAATCATTTTGGACTCTTAACATATTCACTAATTCAAAAACTATAAAAAAAAAGACGTGTAGCAATCTGTACGCTGATACCGAAAGGATTAAAATTTAATTCATACTATATAATATTTTTCAGTATTTATTCTACTTTTGATGTATATTGTGAACTACATACTCCGTTTTGAAAACAAAAGTAGACGAAAGAGAGAAAAGAACCGATATTAAATCGCCTTTTAATAATGAAATCATAGGCTTTTCATCATCATTCGATACACTTTATTGTTTGATTGATCACTTTGCTTATAATTTCCGTTAGATTATTTCATAGAGAGCTTTATCTTTGATAAAGTTAAAAATTAGTTAGGCAGATAAATAAATAAGTCCTTATCTATTTGAAAAACTGATAATCTATGTACGATAATTTTTTCAAGTTTTTCTTCAAATTTAATTTTTTTTTCGATTATTTTGTCACTAGAAAAATTTTAAAAACTATGAATAAACATATTTAATAACACTATTTTGTTATTTTGTTAGAATTTTCTCTCAATATTTAGCTAACAGTTCAAATAATTTGATTCAACCGTTACTTGCTACTAGATTGTTATTAATATATTTCAAGCAAGCCTTAAACGTATAATAGCGAAAGAAAAAAAATCATAAAAAAATAAATTATTAATTTGTGAAGAGCTGAATAAAACTTTTGTTCATTTTCAAGAACACTGTTAACTAGTATCGAGAATTTCTAATGAATATCACTAATTCTTTCAACATGAATTTTTCCATTTTGACAAACACAAAAAAAGAATAGAAATCGATAGAATAACAGTAAACTTTACATTAATTGTAGTTCGTTTGACATCTTTAATTACTTCAATGCGATTTGATAGATCAAATTTTCGATCATATCTATCAGTTGAATTTTTACCTTCAGTAGTAAAGAAATGATTCTAATAATTGAACCACATATACAAGACAACATAAAAATTTATGATAAAATGTAAATGCATTAAATTATCTGCAAACTTTCATATTGCTGATTTCTTAATATTATTTCAATTTCATCAATAACAGTATGCTTAGATTATCTCGAAGAAATATTTATCATCTCTGATATCTAACGTCCTCTAGCAAGATATTTGTTAAATGGTTACAGATGCGATCATTGGAAAATGAAGATGATGATGAAGTGAATCATTCAAAAATTCTTTTTTCAATGAAAAAACGAACGTTTGAAATTTTTAAAAACGATATGTCAGCTCACCTCTGAGTCACTTTTTACAGTTAATCCATCTCATTGTAATCATATTTTGTTGGGAAAGTGGCAAAACATCGAAAGTGAAAACGTCGAAAAGCAAAATATCGAAACTACACGTTTTTTAGGCACAATATCCGGGTCTTGCTCAAGTGTTTCATAAACAAATTACTAAAGAACAACGAGCGCACAGTCCGATAGTGTGGATGAGGGCAAAATCCGTGACTTCTACTTGATTATTAAGACTTTCGACAAAAATTATTTTTGATATTTTGCATTTCGACGTTTTGACTTTCGATGTTTTGCCACCTATTCATTTTGTTTAGATATGATCTTTTAATGAATAAATTTAATCGTCAAGTTGGCTTTTCAGCTATTTTTCGATTAATCTTCAATTAAAGCATTTCAACATTAATCAAATAAGATTTTCATGTTCACTGATTACAATAACATGTAAGTTAAATAAAAATAACTTTAGAATCAGGAGAATCGCAACTTGGGAGAGAGTCACTCACCAAATCCTGAAAAATATCTTTTTTTTCCCAAATGAAATTATAGTGTGCTATTCTTTTTTGTTTATCTATTTCAAAAAAAAAAGTCAAACATTCTCCATGAGATTCGGTTAACTTTAGAAAAGATTTCCCAGTCAGCCTCCTGAGACATCAACACTCTCTCACTTCTGGTGACATCGAGATTCCCCTCGTTACACTGAACTTGATCTAATTGACAATACTTTTAATGATTTAGAAATTGGTATGTCTTCTAATATTCCACGTAATTTAAATAAAAATATGAGAAAACGTCAACAATTCGATTCTCCAATGAAATTTCATGTAACGAAAAGTAATTCGAATGATGTATTTCGAAGTTCTGAAGAAGAATTATTCATACCTCATCGAAAAATACCAATCACTAATTTGTAAGTTCATGAAATTTGACAAGAAAAATTGGGGCTCATATTTCTTTTTTAGACATTCATCTGGGTATCTTCTTCTTTGGACTTATTCCCAACATATTCTTTCTTTTAGTCTTGTTTGTATTATTATTATTGTTTGGTAATATTTTTGTATTTTTCGTATAATTAGATTCGATGTTCTTTTTTTATTTATCATAGTTTTAGTTTAACTTATGCAAGTATTGAATTAAAAAATGAAGTTCAAAGTCTTTCTTCACGTATTAGTGAAAGTAAATAATTTTTTATTTTCAATTTTCATGTGATTTTAATTTTATTTAAATAGTCGAAAAGAAATTTTTAAACACAGAATTAAATCATAGTTTACCAATAATAGAACAAATAAAAACTCGTGTTCAATTGCTTGAAAATTGGAATTTTTCATTTATTTATAATCACTTACAAAAACTACAAGTTCAAGTATTGAAAACATTTTATCTTGTTTTTCTTGTAATAAAATTTTTTGTATTCAGATGTTGTTAAATAATTTTATCTTATCTAACCTGCAGAAAATTGAACATAACTCAGCACATTTGTTTAAAACAACGAATGAATTGAATGTAAGTAACTATTTATTGAAAAAATTTAAAGAATTTTTCTTTAAATAGAATTTAAATCGAGAAATGGAAAATCGAATAGAAAACACGATAAATAAAAGTATAGTTAAATCATATGAACAGTTTAATTTGCTTCAGGTAAGTATTTTATTATATAAATGAAAAAAGAAAGTTTTTTAGTTTATTTTTATTTAAGAATGAAATTCAAAGTTTCAATCAAAATATCAAAATAGAAGAATTGACAAAACATCTAGAGCAATTAACTAATCTTGTACATAATTCATCTGATGAAGTAGGATTCTTTTATTTTCGGTATATCGTTAATAAATAACATGTATTTTCCAAAGACATCAGTTATTCTCAATGACTTTCAGTCTGATCTTGATAAATTAAAAAATAAAATAGATCAATGCAAATGCTTCAAAGGTAAATAATCCTGGTTTTTTTTACTATACTTAGAGCATATCATAAGTAGCAGCGAAAATATTTTAGTTTCCTTATAAAAAAAAAAAGAATTTAAAAATCCTTTCTTTCTCTATATTCTGATTAGAGTTAACACAAGTACAGCAAGTAAAAGTATTTGTACTGTAAAAAATGTTCTCATATTTTTACTTGTCTTGTCACAAGGATACTTACTCCTGTGCTATAGTTCAAAAGAAAATATTTGATATTTTTAGTTGATGTATTAATATGTCGAACTTTGTGTTTAAAGTTTTTCAAGACCATCATGATATTATTTCATTACAAAGAAAAAAAATTAAGAATCTTTTAATGGATTTTTTCTCAGATACTGATAAATTCACTTCCGAACAATTGTAAAAATCATCTATTTTAATTGTTCGAGTTACTAACATAGATAAATATAGCTCTTGATGGTACTAAGAAGAATCTACCTGAATTCAGATCCAGACTCTATAAGCCAAGACAGATTATTACTTCATTGCATTTTCGAATAAATTAATAGGATTTCTTCAATATGTCTTAGATTTTCCTGAAAGTATGGGTGAAAATCATTAATTCTTTCTAACAATATTGAACTTAAAACAGATGCAATTTATCAGATCGATTCTGGTATGTGACTAATAATGTAAGAATTTTCATACTCTCAGGATGAAAATTTGCTTTAATAAAAACTCTTAAACTCATCTGAAAGTCATCGAACTTATCCAAAGACTAATTTTTTCTGAATTGAACATCGTTCATTCATCATACAATGAATCACAAAAATTAAAAAAAGTGCTTCATATAAAAAGTCTTAAGTATTCAAATATAAGGAGGAGCCCGAAAATTGGTTTTAATTTCGATTAAGTTCAACTATGTCTGCAGTATACAATTAAGCGGCTTAATCAAATAAGTTTTGATACTTGAAGCATCATTCGCTGATGGCAGTATGAAGTGCTATGAAAGATACTTCGAATATGCAAAGAAATATTTCTTCAAATTGCAAATTAAAGTACAAAGTACAGTTGATCAATACTGGTACTATTAGTCTTACTTTTACTTAGAAAAGTCCGAGTACAAATACTTTCTTTCAAGCTCTGGTTCTGATCAGGATTCTTGATTAAGAGAATAGGGATCCACTTCCACCACAAAATATCCGACTTTACGCTAAAATTTTTAATATATTCTACCATCTTTTTTTACAGCTTCGTGTTTACTTCGGACAGAAAAAGAATTTTAAAACATCATTTGACTGTCTGTAGCAGAAAGTGAAATAAAAATCAGCAGAAAATGTCGTTGCAAGATAAATAAGATTGTGACAGATCCTAAGCGAGAGATGGCTTGATGGCAGATCGTCTATTATTGAAGAGGCTGGTTTATAGTGCGCTTTGTTCTTCCTTCCTTTTCATTCCCTCGGTTAGAATTTCTAGCACTCCCTGAATGAAAGCACTTCCTACTGAATTTTTACTTTCCAACCCTAAAAAGTATCGAAAACTTTGGTTTTTATAGTAAAAACAATGATCTATATTTCTCTGATATTTAATCATTCTTCAACTAATATCATGGTAATTAAGCTTCGATCAAACCTAATTGTTATGATACGAGATGAAACTATGACATCATATTTTTTCTCGAATGTGTATCTTCTTTCTTTTTTTTTCGTCTTCTATTAATATATAGCCATCTATATATATTAAGATGTAGAAAAAGTAGTAGCAGTAGAACGGAAAACACATGCACAAATGAGTTCATCAAGTCTTTGTTTCATTAAATGTTTAAAATAGTCGTAATTATTTACAGTCAATTGCACTCATTGAATTTATTTACTGAGTGTTTTTTTTTAATATTCTTCGTTATTTAAAGATGCAACAATTTGGAATCGTTTTGATTGCTTTGATTTTGTTTGATTAAAATCTTCCTCTTCTATCAAAAATCTATTTTCGTCCCAAAACAATCGATCTGTCCGAAAAATTCAGAAAATATGAGTGTAGACCTAGGAAACTTACAGTAAAAAATTTCAGCCCGAAATATTGAGTTCTTCAAAAGTTATCCTTATATCAAGAGTTCATAAGTAAGTATACATGCGTTGCAGGTTTCTCCACATACTTAAATGATACAGATGTCGAGGTTACGTCAAGATGTAGTCAACACTTGCCCCTACAGCTCAACAGAGTCCAATTTTCTAAATTCTTGGTTTATTTTTCGCGTCAATTTGTTTTGAAAAGTTCTAAGAAATAGAGGTACTCATGTGAAAAGAGACACACGAACAAAAACAAACGAAAAAAAGAACTCGTTTTGAGGGAAACGGCAAACAAAGTTGAACTTTGAAAATCCTTATTTTTCTCTCATAGAGCGATTCACGAGAGATTATACTGAGAGGATGCATGAAGCCCACTTGCTAGAGCATGCGGGATATATTTGTCGAGTCGAAAGCCTATAAACAAAGTCAGAAGGCTTTGAAAACTAAAATTTAACAAACATTTTCTGCTTGTGGGATTTTCACAAAACCTTTTGGACATCGGAAAAAACATAAGAAAACCTCTGAAAACCATCGTAAAAGCTAAGAATAATAGTGATTCCGAAAATAGAAAATGTTTGCTACTTTGAGCACATACAAAGTTCAACTCTCTATATCTTTGATGAAAATTGATACTTTTGACAATTGGAGGGGTACTTAAGTCGAATTGTTCTATCGCACCACTTTTTCTGCGCTCTGATATGTGTAGAAGGCCAGATATTAGAGAAGATAGGAAAAAAAATGATCAAATATTAAAAAAATATAGGTCATTGTTGTTACTATCAGAAACATATAGAGAGACAGTTTCTTTAAGGTTTCCTATAATGAATTTGAGTATTTCCGTCATTGCTTCTGATATGCTCTAAGTTATTCATACATTCTTTTGTGTTCAGAATCAATTGGTCTAAGAGCATCGCTTGTTGATACAGATCAAATGCAACAAAATATCGTTACCAAACTAAGTAGTAAGTTCAAGTCGATGTTCTTGTCACAAATATAAAATTAGTAATATTTTGTTTAATATTGATATTTTCAACCCTTTCTTTTACTAGTCGTCGATTTTTCTTCTGGAAAAATGTCTATAAAACCTTTTAAAAAGGGTAAATATTTGTTTTTGAATAACCCTGATTCAATAACGAATTTGTATTTAACTAGTGAATGATAACAACAAACAAATTTAGGAATGTGAATAATGGTAACTAGATAAATGCAGAGGAATTTTAATGAACATATGATTTTTCTTTTTACATAAAGCTTGAAAAAATTATCAATCAATCATTAGTTGCTAGTTAGTTTAATTCGTTCACTGTCTTTCAAAATTAAATTATTATCTATCTTATAAAGAATATATGTTTATAATTGTTGTCTTTGTTGTTTTGTATGTATGACAGATTATTTTTGATTTTCTTATTCGTATTACCAATGAATTTAAACAGTACACAGATTTTTATTTTTATTGTTTTTGTCGTATATAAATACAGAAAAAATAAATTATTAACAAATAAATCTTTGCTTTTTACTTAATTACTCAAAAACATTTTGGAGAATAAGACATAATCATCTGAAAAAAATGTGAGGATATCTATAGAAAGTTGTAATTTTTACGTCAAACTAAATGAGTCTGAATTATGTATGAAATCTAAAATCGAATATTTAAATTAATGCATGTCTAATGAGAAAATCCCTTCGACTTTTCAATCTCTTTTGAGCTGAGACTATGTACATTATGTAGAACTAAATGACCTATGAAGATCGTAGTAAGAGTTCGTACCCTTAGTCTATTGCTACGGAGATACTGATTTTTACGGTATTGTTTTAACGTAATGCTGTGATTCACCTCAGGAACACCAGAAAGACTGATTTTCGAATTTTGCCTTGAAATGTTGCGTAGTGACAGGTCTTAACGAGAACAGTTTCTTGTGAAAGTTTCAGATCTTTTAGTTTGTTGCTATCCTGAAATAAGATCATTAAATCTACCGGTTCACATGAACAATGTAAAAGACACGTTATAACCACAGTTCTATCTTAGAATAGAAATAGTGACACGATCTGAAACATTCACAAGAAAATTATTCTCATTAACGCTTGTCTTCATGTCAAATTTCAAGGTGAAATTCGAAAATCAACTCTTCTAATGTTCCTCAAGGAGCCATAGTGTTGATTTTCGAAATAAGATAAAACAGTAAGTATCTCCGTAGCAATAACCTTAGGATACGAACTTATTTCTGGATATTCATAGCTTCTTTGAATCTATATCATGCACATTGTATCGACTAAAATACAATTGAACAGTTGGAAGATTTACCTCGTAAGAAAATGTTTAAAGAACAAGTAACAGATTCGTTTTACTTGTTTCTTATGAATATAATAAATGTAGCACATTTTGTGTCGTTATGCTGTTTGATATTTTAGTAAATGTATATATTAGAATAAAATAAGAAATGAATTATCTGTAAATATTGTTGATTGTAGATTAATGTCAATAAAACGTCGACAACTGTTCGTTGGTGTTCTTGATAATGAAACATGGACTAATGAAAAATTATGTGCATATTTCAATAAACATGCTAGTGCGAACGATGAACAGTATATCACTGATTGTCAAATAATGTCATATAGTGAAACAAGATTTCAAGGTTAATTAATTATTTTAAAAGCTTTAAAGTTTCTTCATTATTTTTAATAGGAAAATCTTTTGCATTTATCACATTTACTGATGAAGCTTGTGTTGATCGTTGTATGACTAAAAGAACACAATTTAATAATGATTATGGAATTACAATAAAACGTTTATTACCAGATTCTATAACGAAATGTGAAAGACTTATGTCATCAACAGATATCGTTATTCGAATAACTTTACAAGGTAAATGCGTAATTCAATTATGAATAAAAGACGTCATAACTGAGTGGCTACGGCTTAGAACATGTATCCCGTAGGTACTGTGTTCAAACCGCGGTGCTACCAATTATGGAATGATCCAGGACAAGTAACTAACGACTGTTTGTCTCGAATCACCTGTTCGATAGCATGCTGACTAAGTTGTGTCATACACCTACCGTTGTGTCTCGGATAAGGATGAGCAATGTCGACTTCTTTTGGTATTAGAATCACCGATGCCAGATCCGATTCTGAATCAAATTTGGAACGGTTCACTCAGTTATTAAAAAGTAATAGTAAATTACTCACGTAGACCATTTAATTAAATATATCTTACGTCAAAGAGAGCCAGATGTGTCTTATTTTGTTGCTTAGCAAATCATTATATAGATATATATGCTTTTGAATCAGTGGTTTTAAATGTTTGTTCAAACTTAAATAAAGAAGTGCATTGTCTTTCATGACAATGTTTTCAATTCCACATTTTTTTCTTGTAAGAATCTGAGTCATCCATCCGCTAGTCTAATATGTGATTAGTCAGCGTGAACAGGGAGCTTCAGCAACTAAGCTCAAGAACTCTGTATCAGGTCAGCATTATTTTAAGAACTACAAATAGTATTATCTGTAGGAAAGATATCAGACTAATCAGTCTACTACGAAGCAGCACCTCATAATGCAAGTTAGCCAAAAGGCTAATATGTACTTTTCATGTGGTGTTCTTTGATTATAATTATAAATATTTGAAATAATTAATTTTTTCATTATATAGATCCATTATTCACCGAAACAAATATTCGCTCGTATTTTGGTGTATATGGAAAGATTATAGAATTAAAAATGCTCGAAGAAGATGATTGTGCCGGTATATGTTTCATAACATTTGAAGATTTTGATTCTTCCGATCGTGTTCTTCTTGATTTTCCACATTATTTAAATGGACAATTACTTTCTATTCATAAATATACTGCACCAGAATATATCTGTAATTTATCACAATTTCGTTTTGTTGATCCAAAAAATGCTTCTCAAATTAAACGATGGTATCCAATATTTCGAAATCTTACCGATTTTATGCGTCCATTAAAAATTTTATATAAAACACAAATTGCCCTATTTAAATTTAATATGAATAAACAAATTTCAATAAGTAATCAAAATTTAAATAAAACAAAGGAAACTCTACATGAATTTGAAAATAAATATAATGATCTTAAACAAAATTTTCTACAATTATTTAGTTTAAATGAACGATTAAAACAACAAATTCAAGAACTTGAAAAAAAGAATGAAAAGAATAACAATGAATATGAAAATCAAATTCAAGAACAAAAAAGAAAAAATCAATCATTACAAGATGCTATTATGTATTTACACGAAGATTCTTAACGATAGAAAATTGTTTCTTTTATATAACTTTTTTGTATAAAATCTTTGTTACATGCTTGTTTGTCTATACATAACAATAAAGCACAAAAAAGTGGTGTTTTTTTGTATTCGAAAATTATTTTTTTGAATTTGAATTACTTAAGGTTGATGTCTTTATCAAGTGATTCAAAAGATCGTCAACGACATGAACTGTATGTTGGTGTGTTTCATAAAGATTCATGGACTTCTAAATCGTTATGTGAATATTTTCATCGATTGATCAAAGGAAGTTGTATTACAGAATGTCATTTTTATTCATGTGCGAATGCAGTGCTCAATGGTTTGTTTTCTCTTCGGTTTTTTTAAACAATTAAAATGTTTGCATTTGCAGATTATTGTTTTGCAATTTTAACGTTTGCTTCAATTTCAAGTGTTGATCAATGCTTAGCTAAACGTCCTCAAATCAATCGAGAACATCGATTTATTGTCAAAAGAAATCTAAGAGAGGTTTCAAAAGATCAAAGACCTGTTACTAAGTATATTTTAATACATCTTGATAAATTCGGTTTGTATCTATTAAAATAAGTAAGAACGATACAGATTTGTACAAAATATTCTATTAAGATTTGTCTTTTAATAACAAAAATGTTTTGGCTTATTTTGGTAAATATGGTTCAATTTTTCAATGGAAAATTCTTGATAATGGTCGTACGTTTCTATTAAATTTTGAAGACTATGATTCAGTGGATCGTATTTTTCTTGATGAACCACATTTTGTTAATCAACATTATTTATCTATTCGAAAATGTTATAATCCATATGCACGTGTACTAAATAATTCGATGGATGATCGGTTAAAAGAACAAATACGCAATCTACAAGCATCAATTGATCGATCAAAATATAAATACGAATCTGAACTTATGAAGTTGAACAAACAGATAGAAGAAGAAATTGCTGCAGTAGAAAATCGTCTTTCAGATACAATTAAATCATGTATTCGTCTTGAACGAATACAGCGTGATCTCAAGCAAGATTTAATGAATGCTCGTCAGATTAATCAACAATTAAAAAATAAACTTGAAGAAACTATAGAGAAAAAGAAAAAAATTGTTGATGAATTTGAAAATCAACTTGAACAGCAACGATATATTAATAAATTATTAAATGATTCTATTTTGAATTTCTCTTAAACTCGTTGAATCACATTTTTTTTAAAATTGTGTAGAAGTTGTGGCGTAAAGTTTATTGTGATATTTTCTTATTTTTTTTTTGTTTTTGTGAATTCATTGCTTTCAGCGTTACTTTTGGTTTTTTTAAAATAACTGATCTTTCAAATCAAAACCGTCTTCTCAATAGTTTGGAGTCAATGATATACACGTTAAGTGTTGTTTCTTATTTTAATGCGATATACAATGCTGAATTCGTTTATCCAACATTATATATTTTGATTCCTGATCGGTTAAATCTGTTTTGAATACAAATAATTTAATCAAAAAAAGTATAGCAATAGTACCCGAGGTATTATCAAAAATATCAAATTATACAATGTATCTTTTGATTGAGTATCCTTAAGAAATTTATAGATTGTTTTGATTACAAAACTGAAAGTTTCTTTTTCTTTCCTAGAATAACTACAATTGTTATCAATAGCAGGAGTGATTTAAATATAGTTTGAAATAATTGTGTTATTGAATGTGAATAGAAAATGTCAGGACTTGTACAAATTAAAGATGAAAGACAATATATGAAGCAACATGAGTTGTCTAATATTACGGATCGTATTTATTCTTCTCTGGTTTGAATTTTGATTAAAAACTATGATATATTTAAATTCAATGATATTCTATTAAAACTATGAGATTTGGAGAAAAGTAGATGTTTCAATCGAACAACTTACAATCAGAAAGACCGAGTTACTAGTTACATTCATAGCTAAAAGTCTTGCTCTCTCATCATTCTTTTCGTATCGAACTTCTTTGATCTTCAATCAATATTGGTTGCACAAATGGCTTAAGTACTGCATTTTAGTGTGATGCGTGATTGATTACGACCTACTTCAATAATAAATGTACATCTTTCAATACAATCGACCAATGATGTAAATGAGTTGACTGATAGAATACTTTATAGCTGCGTTATCTCGAAATTCCGGAACTTCGCCAATAAGACTTTCGCTAATTATTGGCGAAAATCTAGAGGTATATTGGCGAAAGTTCAGTGGACTTTCGCCAACTGACGAATTCCCAAGGGGTATATTGGCGATAGTTCACTGAACTTTCGCCAATTGGTGAATATCCAGGGGGACGAATTGGCGAAAGTCGAATAGATTTTCATTAATGGTAGTGGAATATTCATATCGTAAGTGATGCACAAGAACTATGCCTAGCATTATAAAAATGTACCTCAAGTCATACAGTTAAGAATATAGTTGATATCAATCTCTCTAATCAATACCACCGTCCTACTAAAATTCGAGAAAGTTCATTGGAAGTTCGCCAATGGCAAAATTCCTGTTGGCAAACTTCTGGTAACCTGTTATCTCTCTTTCTTCTTGTTTTCTGAATGTTGTAACAGTTTTATTGGAGCTGTATTTATATAATCGAGTAAACCACATTCTCGGAAGAGCTTTGAATCGGTAACGAAGACAGGTTCATGATCCAAACCGGTCAAACAGTTAGCAAATAGAGAAAAAGAGATAACCCTTTCGTGAAACATTCTGTCAATCAACTAATTTGTAACGTTGCTTCATTGTATTTAAAGACGTATATTCTTCATTCAAGCATATCGTTATCAATCATATACGGCACCATAATGAAGTACTTAACTCATCCTTGTCACTAACATTTACTTGAGATCGATGAGATTCTAACGAAGAGAACGAGAAGAAAGTAAGAAAGACTTTGGTCCAGAGTTGTGTATAAAGTTAGCGAAGTTTCATTGAAACTGATTACAACTTCAAAATCTATATATGAAGTATAATAAGATATTCTATGTTGAAACTAATTTTATTCATATGATTGTTTTTTAATATACATTTCTATTAAATGAAATTATCTTTAAATGACCAAATATGTGCTACTCAACTAATGAGTTATCGTCTTCATCGCATATTGATGTTATAAAAAATCAGTGTAAGCTTTCCATCGGGTAAATCCGAACTTGATCAAATGACTTAGTCTTGAATTCTTTTTTAGATAGATATGAGTTCATTTACTTTCATATACTATGACACCAAATATGAATGTCAAGTCAACGATTGTTTGTTGTTTTTGAGATAAAAATTTGGATTAGAATCACATTTACAAATCATCGTCCATTGCAAAATATTACTCCATTCACAAACAAGCAAGCTACATTTTGTTTTGATAGGTTCTTATGCAATAAATAATTTTACTATCAATAGAAATAAGTTTAAAAATATAATTAGTTTTTAAATGAATTAATTTTTTCAAATCCAGTGCGTTTTTTCTTTGGTTTTCAAAAAACATTTTCACTGGAGTCTAACATAGAAACTTTATTGATGGAAGACGTTTTTTGAAGGTACCTTGACGAAAAATAAACAGCGAATAATGAATGTTAAAAGAACGAATTCTATATGGATGATCCATCAGAATGTGAGATGTGGATGCAATTGTGCGTATTTCTTTCACTTAAACTCACAGCCACATCCATGTCCATACTTAATATCATTTTCATCCTTTGCAAGATAATGACAAGGCATTACTTATATCCATATTTTAATACATTGCTTTTCTTTAAGTGTATGTATATTTGACGTTGTAGAAATGAGTGAATTTATAAAGATTCCATAGGACTTGACAATTATTTTTCTAGATAAAAACGATCCGAGTTCATGATGGAACAGTTCAAGAAGATAAATTCATCAAAATATTTGTGTAATTTTTTTGCAATCGTTTTATAGTATTATTTTGAATATGTTACGCTGATTAATATACAAGTGAGATATTGGTAGAATAGAATTCAATATCTAGCATAGCACTTTTTTTTGTTATACGAAAATCATACTATCAAAACTTATTGCAAGGTTCGGTATGTATTCTTCGCAATGAAATTCGAACAAAATTCTATCAGTAGATGGTAGCAACAAAAAAGGGAGACAGAAATTTCGGCTAACGGAATTTTCGGTCCGAATTTTCGACCAGTCACCCCATTGATCCTTAGAAAAAACTTTTTTAAATTCAGCTCAGCGATATGAAGTAGTGCTGAACAGCACGTAATAGTACTGAACAGAACGTCGTATTGTTGAGCATTGTGACATAGCACTAACCAGGACGCCATAATTCTCAGCGATATAGCATTGCGGATGTGATGTGGATGTAGTTTGTGTGAGTTTCTGGGTTTCAGTCTTCTCTTAATTGACACCCAAAACTTTTATGATGTCCTACTCAACACTATGCCATGTCCCTGGGCACTATGCTATATTGCTGTGCACTATGATGTCGTGCTCAGTACTACAACGTTCAGCAACTAATGAAAAAAAAATTAAGTTTTTTATTTTAGAGGACAGTGAGGTCGCGGGCCGAAAGTTCTGATCAATAATTTCGTGGGCTGAAATTCATGTAACCGGTGAATAATAGTAATCCTTTCTGTATTGTACCTAAACCTGTGATATGAATATCAGATACAACAATAAAATGGATTTAATATCATCCATAGACTTCAAGTACTTCTTGACATTGAAAATTGAATTTAGTGAAAAAGATAAAATTGTGTTCAGGACACAATCTATCTGCATTACAATTGCTTTGCGTTTATCGAGATCGAGTTTGATGAGAAAAATTCAGGTTTAATCTGTTCATTCCGTTTTTTTCAGCAAAAATGTCTCACTAATATAATACATAGAACAAAAAGAAAAAAACTAAGGTCATACGATCCTATACCTAGCTTTCTATTTCATTTATTCCTCGTTTGATACTTATGTTAAATGTGCTTCCAATTTTTTAACTTAAAGATTATTTTGAATCAATATCGCAGGATCTAATGACACCAGCTTCAACATCGCAATTAAAAGTATATTCAAAGAAAAAGTTTCACAACAAGGAAACAAACAAAAAAGCGATGTAACAGAAGAATAATCAAAAAAAATAAGAACCAGCAATAAAAAAAGCTTACAAAGATAAAAACTATATAGATAGTACTTTTAATATGCGATGCAAAAGTCTTTGGAAAAACGTCAAACCCCGTTGTAACATAACAACACTGACTCCTAAATCAATTAAAGTTTGTTTATTACAAACAACAATGTCTAAACTAAAAATTGTGTACCAGAGATATGTTTCCACAAAAGGTCTGATGAAGGGAAAAAGTCCAAAACCAAACATGTATCAAAAAGTTCTTGCAACGTTTTGCCAATTTAAAAAGTTTGTACTTCAGAATTAATTCGAGCCACATAAATGAACGAAATAGGAACAAAAAACATAAAAATGTAGCGTATCGAAAACTCTGTCAATATCAGTTTTGGTAAAATTTGTTAGATCTATCCCTGACTTTTGAATCAAAAGGTTGGAACATAAAAGTTTTGTGATGAAGTTACAACATGTGAGATTTGATATTAATTCGTTTGCATATTGATGTAATAATCTATTTACGTTTCAATACATATGTTCATATAATATGCGAGAATGATACATATTCAAAATTGTTTTACAATCACTGAGAATTCTCTTCTTATATATGTATAAAGAACAAAGTAAATTGATGGGCTTAAACTTCATGGTTTTCTTTAATCCACGGACAAATTTATATGAAAGAAGGCAAAATATATTATGAGAAAGAAATCTGACATTTTCAAAAGTTCAATTCAAATTGGAGCGTATTCAATGCCCAGGGCCACTTGCAAATTTCAAAACTCTACTCTGAGGATGCTAAGAATATTGAAAAAAAATCAAACAAGACGTATATTCGATGATACGAGTGCTTTCTTTTTGCTGATTTTTCAGTACCAATAATGTGCAATATCAATGAGGACAAGTTACCTAAAACATGATGCGAAAAGTACGTTAGTTTTACTAATAGCGTGATGCACTGATTTTTAGAAAATGTTTAGTCAACAATAAAGAGTGTTTTCGTCCTGACCGACAGTACAAAACGATAATATCTCCAAGTTATAACATGAATTGAATTAGATAACAGTGTGAACACGCAGGAAACTGCATTGCATCTTGCATTT